CTTGGTTAGAGAACAGGGCAAGGTGAAAGTAAAATTTTTAGAGAAGAACATTTTCCGTCACTGCAATATGCCAGGTTTCGAACCCGGGATTTATTGAATGAGAGGCAAACACCATACACCGTTCCTCTAGACCATAAGAGCCCCCTTTGTCCTAGTGTGGTTCTTGGCTAAGAAGACTACAAGACAACCTATCTCACCGGTCTCTGACAGCTCCACCTTTGTTGTACGATACCCCCAACCCCGGTAACATTCGCATGTGTGTATGACGTATGTACTCACATGTCCATTTTCTAAAAGGAACCCACTTTCCACGTTTCCAGTCTAAATGAAAACGAGACCCACGTAATAGCACTTAAGGAAAACACAACGAGACAATCTCACCATTCCTTGGAAATGCATTGGCTGAGGTAGTTCTGTGACAAACTGACACAGCCTACGCACATAATATATTTATTTAAAGACATAGGTATTTTTGATTGATAGGGAGCTACAGTCTAGTCTTAAAACAGAATGCTTGTAACTGTCAATATAATTAATTTTTTATTGTCAAAACATTTGGCCTATGAAGGCGTGCTGGTAATATATTCACAGGCGGCCACTTCAAATTGATGTATATATATATCTTATATATCTTTTTCTTCGGGTTTTGGCTGGTTATTTCGACTTCGGACAATCAATGAGTCGGCCATCTTCTCTCACTCTACAGAGACGACGCTGTTTTTGTTCGCTTCTTGGACGTGTGGATTATATTTGTGAACGTTGGTGACGTAAGTGATAGCCTTTCTTGTCAGTGAGCCTGTACGCGAGTCTCTCAGCTGTCATGGTGTTTCGAAAAACGATCTCACGGAAGGAGAACCAGATCTATAAAATAAGAACAATTTCCTTCCATGTTTCCATTTCATGTCCATTGTTGGAAACACTTTACGACGTGTCTTATGACTACTTTAGCTGATTCAACATCTGTGTCTTCCCGTTATTCATCTTTAGGACAGGCGTAGATAACCGATTCAAGTTTACTGACTCGATTTGAGCTTCGAACTGGGGTCAACGCCATTGCACATGAACACGATGCCAGTCAGTAGATAGTTTTAGTACGGTGTGTGGCATATAGTACGTGCACCCCATGGACAAATGAGAAAACAACTGAGGCCTTCTTTGACGAGTCAAACCAAGACATCCACTATTATGTTAAAATTGTATTTTATTTTCACTGCGTGTGAGGCCAAACATTCGATATTTCAAAAAAGTACTGTTTGATACGTGTGTCTGACCGACTGATTTTGCGTATCCTATTCCGTCATTCTGGTCCATCCTATCGACTGAACTTGCAGCTTGCTTGTTATTGAGGTCTTCATGATTTAATCTTTAAAAAAAAATGTTTAAAATGAGTTTATTATGACCCACTTGTTTCTGATCCGATTCGATCATGCAGGCGTATCCTGTCGATTGATTGTGCAGCTTACCTTTTATCCCCTGTGTTGAATGAAGCACAGAGGCGAACTGTGACTGGACAGAGAAATCTCTACAGGAGCGTGCCAACTGTCCAGATCTTCCCGGGACTGTGCCAAATTCGACAAAAGAGGAATTTGAGAATATATTTATTTACTACTTATGTAGTAGTTCACTACACCAAAACTATTCCCACTAGATGTAATTGTGTTCGCCATTGTTACGTACTCTTTCGTTTTAGTAAGAGTTTTACGGCACTTGCAACACGATAAGGTCATATAAGTGCCGAAAAATAGATGTGTTACAAAATCCACGTTACATACTCTGATGTTTTGGTCATAACCTCGGGTGTCCCTGACAGTGTTTTGAAAAAGTTGACTAGCCTGTGCGAGTGTCATCTTCCCCCAGTGATCTGTATACGGATCTGTGAGGTGTGAGGTCCCTGGGGGTTGGTCAGTTACTTGTGACGTATGCCAGAAAGTGACGTCATGTTCACCAGAAGGTACAGACAGAGGAGGAGGACGAGGCGGGCTGGTGGCAGGTCAAGTGAGTATGTCTTTGGAGAGAGAGATAGTTGTGATGTGTGTGTGTGTGTGTGCGTGTGTGTGTGTGTGTGTGTGTGTGTGTATGTGTTTGTGTGTGTGAGTGTGTGAGCATGTGTATGTGTATACTTGTGTGTGTGTGTGTGTGTGTGTGTGTGTTTGTATGAGAGAGAGAAAGAAAGAGAGAAGGGAGAAAGAGAGAGACAGAGAGAGAGAGGGAGAGAGAGAGAGAGAGAGAGAGAGAGAGAGAGAGAGAGAGAGAGAGAGGAGAGGAGAGAGAGAGGGGGGAATAGAGAGAAAGAGAGAGACAAAAATAATATAGAACACTCCAGATATCATGTATGCGCTCTACACATGATAATCATACTGACAGACAGACAGGAAGATCTCTCTATCTATCTATCTATCTATCTATCTATCTATCTATCTATCTATCTATCTATCTATCGATCTATCTATCTATCTATCTATCTATCTATCAGTGCCAACCGTGGCTGAGGGGGATAAAAGATTCCAGCAAAAAGACCGATGATTCTCGATTTACCAAAAAATTCCCCACTTGGGAATCGACCTCAGGTCTCCTGTGTTCGACAACAAAGCGAGAAACCCCCACACCACAGACGTCGGTGTTTCTGATTGGTCGTTTACGAGCACTGGCAATTTTACCGAACTGCATCATATTTTGTTCGCACATTCCAAATGATCTCCCAATTTTCTTTCGATTGGAGAAATTTCTCCTTCTTTCGTCAAAAAATTGATATGACCCCGTCGCCATGACAGCGATTTGCTTGAACTCTGTGGAATGTTTAACGGTTTATCACCCGTATCAACACATATATTGGGTTATTTCAGAAACGGGACCTCCGAATTTAAACGTCCGTCTCCGATAGGGTCGACAGCTTTGAAAACTCCACAAAACAACCCAAGTTCAAGAACACCCAGTTTGGGATTTGAGCCTGAGTCATCCGCTCTGTAGTCCAGTGTGATGCCAACTGAGCAGTCTGTAACTAGTGTTACTCAACAAGAGAGACAAAAAAGCTTATTTGAACAAAAGAGACTGACTTTTAACCTCTTCACTGCTGTGTAGACGTATCGGGGGGGGGGGGGGGGGGGGTTCGTGGTCTAGAGGTACGGTGTCGCCTCTCATTCGCAGGTCCCGAGTTCGAAATCTGACTGCGTCGAATAATTTTTTCTTCTCTAAAAAAATCTCCATTCACCTTTCCTTCTCTCTAATCATGTTCTGTCGTCTGCTTTCGGCTCCACTTTCTGCCTCCTACCCCTTTGCCCCCCCCCCCCTCCTGGGCTCCTGACTCTCTCTGTTGCCCGTCCACTGCTAGCTCTTAGCATCTTGGGTACGGTTGTGGGGAAAATAATTCAAAATTAATTCCTACCAAACTAAAAATGCCTAATGTGTCTCGCATGCTAAAATGACCTTATGCAGTTGCAAGCGCTGTAAAGCACTTACCCCCCCAAAAAAACCCAAACAAAACAAACAAACAAAACAAAACAAACAAACAAAAACAACAACAACAAAAACAAAAACAAAAAACTAAAAAAAGACGTATATACTCAGTTCTGTTCTACACAATTCATTCCCTGACATCTGTTTTATACGACAAGTCTAAGAAGATGTAATAACGACTGGTGCTGATGTTTACTTTTAAATAAGAGAAAAGATATAATGGTTTGGTTTACATTTCTGTAGAATGTACATTTTTATCTTGTCTTGCACAAGCCTACATAGAAACGCATCTGCAATAAAAGGATTACAGCGGAATGCATCCACTCACACAGTTAATGCATGGCTTCAGACTCAAAATCAATAGACAATTTAAAAACAAAGCTTTCTATTGTGAAAATATCGCATGAAATCAAGTTCGACGCAAAGCATTTTACTAATTTTGATACGCTGACTCCGAAAATAAAATAAGTCTTTAGCTGTGATAAATTATTCTCTTTAAAATTCGACGCAAAGTTGAATCCCGCTCGGCGGCAAACTTCTGTTTAAAGGGATTCTGCGTCTCAGCTCGTTTCTCTTAAATCTGACCTAGATTGCACCCCCCCC